TGGATGGCATCACTGACCCAATGAACATGGGTTTGGGTGAACTCTGGGAGTTGGTGATGGACAGGGAGGCCTAGTGTGCTGCGGTTCATGGGGTCACAAAGAGTCGGACATGACTGAGCAACTGAACTGAACTGAAGGACATAAAGGAAAACATAGACATAATTATTGAAGATATGGGGAATCTCTGCAGAGAAAGTGAAACTGTGAAAGAGAAGCATGGGAAAATTCTAGAACTTAAAACACAGTAGGCATAACAGCATAATAGAGACTGCAAAAGAAAGGGTTGGGAAACTTAAACAGAGATTACTATTTAATCAAAAACCAAACAATAAAGTTATTTAAAAAACCTGGAGTCTCAGTGACCTGTGGGATAGTTTATTTCAGATGATATCTAAAATATGTGTGGGCTTCTCTGGTGGCTCAGCGGTAAAGAATCTGCCTTCAATGCAGGAGATGCAAGTTTGATCCCTGGGTCAGGATGATCCCCTGGGGAAGGAAATGGCAACCCACTCCAGTATTCTTGCCTGGGAAATCTCATGGACAGAGGAGCCTGGCGGGTTACAGTCCATAGGGTTGCAAAACAGTCAGACTCGACTTAGTGACCAAACAACAACAAAACATGTGTAACTGGAGTTTCAGAAGGTAAGGAGAGAGAGAATGGGCAGAAAAAATATTGGAAGACATAATTGCTAAGGAGTTCCTATATTTGGTGAAAAATAAACCACTTACAATGTCTTCCCTGGTGGCTTAGACTGTAAAGCATCTGCCTGCAATGTGGGAGACCTGGGTTCGATCCCTGGGTTGGGAAGATCCCCTGGAGAAGGAAATGGCAACCCACTCCAGTATTCTTGCCTGGAAAATCCCATGGATGTAGGAGCCTGATAGGCTACAGTCCATGGGGTCGCAAAGAGTCGGACACAACTGAACGATTTCTCTTTCTTTCTCTTTCTACATAAGGAGAAGAGGGAGGCAGAGGATAAGAAGGTTGGATAGCATCACCAATTCAATGGTCGTGAACTTGGGCAAATTCTGGGAGATAGTGAGGGACAGGGAAGCCTGGCGTGCTGCAGTCCGTGGGGTCATGAAGAGTCAGACATGACTTAGTGACTGAATAACAACAACAAAAACCATTCAAGAGTCCATTAACCTTAAGTTGGTGAAGAAGAAAAGCACCTATTCATCTTACAATCAAACTGCTAAAAAACTGATAAAGAGTTAACTTAAAAGCAGCTAGAAACAAATCTGAGACAATTTGGGCAACAAAATAAGTTAGGATCGTTTTGTATTATAATTCATAGAATAAAATAAATATTCACAAATTCACACTGAATTTTAAAAATGAGAGAGAAGCGAGCAGGTCTTCCTTACTGTGGAATACTAATTAACAGCTATAGAAGGAAAAAATGGAAATAAAAAATCACTATTAACGAAATATCACACTAACTAATTAATTGCAATCAAGAACCATTGATGGATGCTGAAATTAGTGGGTGAAAGTAGGAAGAGAAACAGGATATTTGCATAGAATTGAAGTATCTTCCCAGAAAATATTGATTAATTACAAAGAGCAAAATCATTCTTTTATACTAAAGAAACCTGGCAGACATCACCTTCACCATGAGATCAAAGCAATAAGATTCATTGTTATGTCAAACACGACTTAATGACGAAACACCCGCCTCCCCCACACACATGCATACACACACACCACCTGGTATAAGGTAATGACAAAGCATACACTTTTGGTGATATTCTTGCTTGGAAAGCTTCAATACAATCATGAGAAAACACCAGACAAACCCAGAGTGAGGGCCATGTGTGTGTGTTTAGTCACTCTCTCAGTCATGGCCAACTCCTTGTGACTCCATGGACTGTAGCCCACCAGGCTCCTCTGTCCAGGTGATGCTCCAGGCAAGAATACTACATCATAATTGGCCTAATAATTGACACAAAAATGTCAAGGTGATGAAAGAAAAGAAAGACTGAGGAAATGTCATAGATTGAAGGAGACTAAGGAAACATGGTAACAATACAATATGGCATGCTGGATTGGATCTTAGAACAGAAAAAGGATATTAGTGGAATATTGGCAAAATTCAAATATTGTGTCTAGATTAGTTAATAGCATCATACTGAGCTTTCTGTGTTCAATAATTGCAATATGGCAATACAAAATGTTGACAGTAGGAGAAACTGAGTGAAGAATAAAAGGGAACTGAATATTTCGAAACTCTTCTGTAAGTGTAAATGATTAAAAAAAAAAAAAAACCCAGAGGGAAAAGACAAGGAAACAAGAATATATATGATGGGAATTCCTTGGTAGTCTAGTGGTTAAGACTCCATGCTTTCACTGATGAGAGCCCTGGTTTGATCCCTGGTTGAGGAACTAAAATTCCACACACCTCATGCTGAAGCCAGAAAAATAAATAAATAAAATAAATGATGGCTGGCTTCTCATCAGAAACAGTGGAACCAGAAAACAGTGGGACAACATCTATAAAGTACTGAAAGAAAAAATTACCCTATTAACCTAAAAACTCTATATAAGAAGTATCATTAAAAATGAGACAAATAAAAGTTAAGCATTTTGCTTTTTAGTCTCAAAGTCATGTCCAACTCTTTGCAACCCCATGTGCTGTAGCCCACCAGGCCTCCTCTGTCCATGGAATTCCTGGCAAGAACATCGGGGTGGTAGCCATTTTCTTCTCCTGGGGATCTTCCTGACCCAGGGATTGAAACTGGGTCTCTTGAGTCTCCTGCATTTACAGGTAGCTTCTTTACCACTGAGCATATTTATGGCCTTTAAAGTCTGCTAAAGATAGTTCTTCAGGCTGAAGGGATTGGAAACTTGGACAGCATATTTGCTGGAGAGGTGTCCACCCCAAGTGGTTGGTACCAGCAGTGTTAGGCTGGGGAGACACCTAGGTGAATGGGAGATAGTTTATATACATGAGAATGAAGCAAATAAGTAAACATCTAGGTGGAGATGAAACCTGTGTGATCTGGATTTTGATCCACTGTTTAAACAGCGTCTAACCTAGACGCCTTCTAGTCGTTAGGGACAGCGTATGGAGCTCAGGTCAGGAAGCCCAGTGACCCTTTGTGGGTGGCTCCTCCCCTGCCCCCTTGCAAATTACTAATGACACTTCTACTGATTTGTGCTCCTCTTTTCCCTAGTGTTTGGGAGGTCTGAAGAGGAAATGCCTATCTCTGCTGAGGGTGGAGCAGAAGGAAGGGTGGGGGGGATCAGACATGGTTATATGGAAGAGGTGACATATGAGATGTTCTGATAAGTGGAATTTTCCACGTGGAAAGAGGAAGTAAGATCAGTCAGACAGACAGGCAAGGAGTGTCTGGGAATGTTACATATCTTTTTGAGCTAGGATGGGAGGTGGGGCTGGAGACCTGAGGCAGGGCCAGTTTCCAGGTATCTTGTGCATCTCAGGAGAGGGCTTAGGGAAGCCCAAGGACAGCCTGGAAGGCTTTGGAGGAGCCCAACATCTGGAGAGATTCCAAATCCTGCCTGATGCCTCAGGGCTTTTTCTTTTCTTTTCTTCATTTTAAAAAATTTTGGGGCTGCTCTGGGTCACAGCTCTTTGTTGCTGAGTATGGCTATCCCAAGTTGCAGTTTTAGCAAGAGGAGGCTACTCTCTAGTTGCACTGTGTGGGCTTCTCATTGTGGTGGCTTCTCCTGTTGCAGAACCAGCGCTCTAGGGTTCCAGGGCTCAGTCATTGCCAGGTACCGTCTTAGCTGCATGTGGGAACTTGGTTCCTGGACCAGAGAATGAACCCAGGTCCCCTGCAATGGCAAGTGAAAGTCACTCAGTCATGTCTGACTCTTTGAGACCCCATGGATTGTATAGTCCATGGAATGGGGACTATACAGTTCATGGAATTCTCCAGGCAAGAATACTGGAATGGGTAGCGTTTCCTTTCTCCAGGGGAATCTTCCCAACCCAGGGTTTGAACTCAGGTCTCCCACTTTGCAGGCGGATTCAATATCAGTTGAACCACCAGGGAAGGCCCTGCATTGGCAAGCAGATTTCCTAACCACTGGACCACCAGGGAAATCCTCAGGCCTTGTTTTCCATTATCCTTAGAGCTTCCTATTGAGGCAGCCTGCACCAGCCCCTATCTGTGGTGGGCTCCTGCTCCGTCCCAGCGCTGTCGCCTTTGAGCTTCCCGAAGTTTCTAGTTTGTGGAGGACCCAGAGACCCATAAGTAGGGATCCAGGGAGGCAGGAGGCCTTTGAAGAGAATGAGATAAAGCTCTAAAGCCTGTGAGTTTGAGTGCAGGCAGTATGTTGACTGTCTTGAAATGTTTATCAGATACTGTGCTTACTCCGTGCAAGCACCTATTTGCAGAGAAAGCCCCTTTATGCACATCAAATGCTTACACACACTTGAGATGCGGTCTTGTCTTCAAGAGGCTTACTGTTTACTGGAAAACCAAACTAATCCAAGATAAATATTAGTGAATAACAAAGGACTAAAGAGGTGCCTGGCACAGAGTAGGCGTTCAGCAGGTTTGTCAATTAAATGAATGAACGTATCGATGACCAAAAGTCAAGGTACAGAGGGCAGGTGCCCGAGGACCTCGAGGGAAAGAGAAAGCCGTGTGGGTGTCTCCGAAGAGAGGGCACAGGTTTCTGGCTTTTCTAAGCATACCAAGTGCCCGATGCGGACCCTGGGGCCAGGATGTCCCTGGTGGATGCGCCCTCGACCTCCCTGGGGTCCCAGTCTTGCCTTGCGTACCCGCAGGCGATCCTCGCGGGCTGAGCCGCAGCGGCAGAGAGGAGGCGGTTTCCCACTTTCCGCCCTGCGGTGGAGGGTCCGCAGAAAGGCCGGAGGGGAGGGAGCATCAGTCCACGGCCCGCCCCGTTGCGTCCCACCCACCGCGTCCCCTCCCCTCCGGCCCCGGGAAAAGCGGCCGCGGGCGCCGCCGCTCGCTGTGGGGCGGGAGGACGCTGCCGAGAGGGATCGCGGCGGCGGGCTGACGAGATGCGAGCGCGGCGACTCTGGGCCGCGGTGCTGATGGTGGGGGCGCTGGCGGGCGTCGGCGTCGGAGGTGAGTGGGGCTCCCGCGCGGTGGGGACCCGGGTCTCGGGTGAGCCGCGCCGCTCTCCTGCCGCAGCCGAGTGTACAGAGCAGACGTAGAGCGGGGAAGCCGGTCGGGTGGTCCTGCGCCCCTGCTCTCAGAGTGCGCGGGGCCAGGCTGGAGACGTCGGAGCTGGGAGCTGGGGACCTTCCGGGCTCCGCTGCGGTCAGGGCGAGCCACTACCTAGCGGCAAGTCCGTCGGGACACCCAGCTAACTCGTAAGCCAAGTTAGGCGCCTGTCCCGGGCGATCTCCACGTGAGCGGCGCGGTGGGCGCATCTCTGAGCCCGGAGTTCAGTCCCGGCCGCGCGCCTCGCAGGTGGTCCCGGCCGTGCGAAGGCAGGGTGGCTCCCGGAGCCCGGGCGAGCTTCCCGGGGCTGTTCCCCCGAGTTGGCAGAGGGATGCGGTTGTCGCTTCCCAAATGAGAGCGTGTGCGCGCAGACTTACCGGTTACTCGACATTTCTCTTTCTCTTTGTGTACACTTTCGCCCAAGTTTTTGTCTGTTTAGTTTTTACTTGGAGGCTCCCCGCGGGAGCGATTCGGAGGAGGACGAGGGCTGTACCTCCTACAGTGTCCTAGGGTGGCGGCAGTAGCCTCCGCTTCCGGGACAAGCCCAGCATCCGAACACTCTCCACTGCGTGCGAACGGCCACGCCAGGGGTCCCCGGAGCTGGCTTGGCTCCTGGCTTTGTCTCTCTTGCTGCCGCACGCGCACTGTCAGCTGCCAAGGCAGCTGGCACTCGGCCTCGTTGGTGCTGGGAGGGGCACAGCCCAGATTGCTCTTTCTGGTGCTCGGGTGACCCTCTCAGGGAGAACTCTGTCTCTTGGTCCACTGCGGCGTTTCTCTGCAGAGGACGCACAAGTGTGCACACACCTACTTTTAGTGAAAAGGGTAGTACTCATGATAAGTAGTACTCCCTATGGCTCCGTTGGTTAAGAGTCCGCCTGCCATGCGGGACACCCTGATTCGACTCCTGGGTCTTGAAGATTCGCTGGAGAAGGGACAGGCTACCCAGTCCAGTATTCTTGGGCTTCCCTTGTGGCTCAGCTGGTAAAGAATCTGCCTGCAATGTGGGAGACCTAGTTTCCATCCCTGGGTTGGGAAGACCCCCTGGAGAAGGGAAAGGCTACCCACTTCAGTTTTCTGGCCTGGAGAATTCCATGGACTGTATGGTCCATGAGGTTGCAAAGAGTCGGACAAGACTCAGTGACTTTCAATTTCACTTTTTCATGGTAAGACAACTTAGATTCTACAGAAGATTAAGACTTATTGCTAAATCTGTCAGGAAATACTTGATGACTTCCTTTAAGACTCTTGTATGTGTAACAGATTGTCCAAGATAGGGCAACAGTATCTTAAAAAAAAAACAACACTTTATTGAGGTAGGACCCACATTTTAAAAGCTGTATATATTTAATGTATATGACTTGAATTTTGAGATAAGTATACACTCATGAGATCATCACCACAATTTATGATCCACAACTTGATGAAGGAGTTACAGATAATACATAGGGGGCTGTTTAAGTTATTGCTGCAGAAGCTTCCCATGTAGTAGATGCTCAAACAAGTCAACTGATATTTTTAGCCTGCAGTGAGTGGCCTGATGACTATGGCCCAGAATTATGAATCTCCAGCATTCAACCCTGGGAGAAGTTAGAGTCTTGGTTCAGATGCTGTCTGAATGGAGAAGTCTGGAGGCAACTCGGCATTCTCCGGCAGCGATGCCTGCTTCCGTGAACTTAAAACATTTTTTGCTTTCTTTTCACATCTACAGTTTTCTGAATTTCTGAATGATTTCTGAATCTAATCATTATGTATTTTTACAGTTTTAGAAGTAAGATAATATGAGATAGAGTCTAGCATGGTGCTTGGTTCAGCTGGTGAAGATGAAGAGTGCATTTGTTATTTTGCTGTCTCTCTCTCCACCCCTCACTTCTAATATACTTTTTGTTGATCTGGTTTACACAGTTATAATGATCTGTATAGGATTCTACTGTGCTGACATACCTAAATTTGCATGAATTATTCTCTTGGGGATCTGCTTACAGGTTCATCATTGTGATTGGAGTGATTCCAGAGTGGTGGTGGGCTATACTGAGTTAGCTAGCCCCAGAGAACCATTGAGAGGCATGGTAGAGTCCTATTTAAGAGTATGGGCTTAGGACTTCCCTGGTGGTCCAGTGGCTAACTTTGGGTTCCCATTGCAAGGGGCACAGGTTTGATCCCTGGTCGGGGAACTAGATCCCACATGCTGCAATTGAGAGTTCACTTGCCACAACTAAAGATCCTGCATGCCTCAGGTAAGACCCAGTGCAGCCAAATAAACAAATTAAATTTAAAAAAGAGGATGGGCTCTAAGCAATTTCCCTGATCATCCAGGGGTTAAGACTTCATCCACCCTTCCACTGCAGTGGGTTCTGGTTCGATTTCTGGTCCAGAAGATTTGCTGCTCTGGGAAGTTCCCCATCTGCGAGGTGTGGCCAAAACAACCCACAAAAACAAACAAACAAAACAAAAACAACAGCAACAAAAATCAAAAACAAAGGACAAAAGATCGTGGACTCTAGAGAAGACCTCCAAAGTAATAAACCCCCAGTAATAGTGGCTTTCTCAATGTCTCAGTGAGTAAAGATACACCTGCAATGCAGGAGACAAAGGAGATTCAGGTTTGGTCCCTGGATTGGGTAGATTCCCCTGGAGATGGAAATGGTATCCTACTTTAGTATTCTTGCCTGAAAAATCCCATGGACAGAGGAGCCTGGCAGGCTACAGTCCAAGGGTTGCAAAGAGTCAGACACAACTGAACAGAGCAGAGAGCAAAAGCAGTTTCAGTTATATTTCACACCCCCCTCACTCCAGTGTTTATGACTGGGTTGCAGGGATCATCAGATCCCTGGGAGGCAGATATAGGATGAAGGTGGAGAGCTCTGTTGGAACCCAGTGTTGAAGGGACACAGACTGGATGGGGATGTCACAGAGAGGCTGTCCCAGTGTGGGATAGTCTGGTAAGGGGAGAAGAGAGGTTGTTTGGTGGTAGACTTGAGTTTTGGAATTCATGTGCAAAGATGAGCTTTTTGACTTCACTCAAGAAATATTGGGTTTTGTGGCTTCCCCAAATATGGGTCTTTATTTTAACCCAAGACCTACTGAGTAACAGGTTTGTTTTCTATCTAATTTGATTAGTTCTGAGCTGAGGTGCTGATTTCTCCTCCTGAATTTATAATCTAAAACTCTCCAGCTGAAAGGAACTCTCAGCGCCTGGAGAGACATAGCAGGGGGCTTTTTGGCTGGGGAAAGGAACAGCTGTGGTTTGAATGTGTGCGTGCTAAGTCACTTCAGTCATGTCTGACTCTGTGACTCTATGGACTATAGCCCGTCAGGCTGCTCAGTCCATGGGATTCTCCAGGTAAGAATACTGGATTGGGTTGCCATGCCCTCCTCCAGGGGATCTTCTTGACCCATGGATCAAACCTACATCTCTTGCACCTCCTACCTTGGCAGGTGAGTTCTTTACCATTAGTGCCACTTGGGAAGCCCAGCTATGGTTTAAAGCCAATCAAATGTGGGTTTAATTCTTTTTTAAACATTTTATTTGTATTGGAGTATAGCTGCTTAACAATGTTGTGATAGTTTCAAATGGACAGCAAAGGGACTCAAATGTATACATGTATCCATTTTTCTCCAAACTCCCCTCTCATCCAGGCTGCCACTGGATGTGGGTGTAGTTATTAATTTTGCCTCAGTATCTGTTTTACCTTGGGCAAGTGACTTAATCTCTTAGGTCCTCTGTTTCCTCCTCTATAGAGTGGAGGGATTAGTACTTCTACAATTGTACCAATTAAATGAAATAAAGGCACGAAATAAGTTTTCAATGGTAACCACTCCTGTCATTTTTCTTGTCCGTGGTAACTACAGTGTTTTGGAGGTTAGACTGTTAGTGCTTCATCCATGCATAAAATTCAAGTTCCTAGAATGAGACCCATGGGGTCCCTCTTCCCACACTTATGTGATAGGGGCTAAGTCGCTTTGATCATGTCCGACTCTTTGCAACCCTATGGACTATAGCATGCCAAGTTCCTCTGTCCATGGAATTCTCCAGGCAAGAATACTGAAATGCATTGCTATGCCCTCCTCCAGGGACTCTTCCCTATTTCATCGGTATATCTCAGCCACTCTGACCCAGCAAGAGCTCACACAAGAGCCCAAGGGGGAGTGGGGGTCTCTCCCCATACATTTGCTTTATCCACAAGAAAACTTCAAGTCCTGTCCCCGGGAAAAGAGGGAAGTAAAATATATTCACAGGATTTGAGAAGGATGCATCTACTTTGGTCAGTACTCTATGTGCAGTGGTTGGAACATAGGTACAAAATATATACCTATGGAAAGGCATCTTGAGGAGATATTCCTCACCTTAAGATATCCAATATTTGAATATCTGCATTCATTCATAGATGATCCTTAAATTCTCCCTCTGGGCATTCTGGAGGATATTAAAATACAGTTGAGACCATGAGTTCTTTGGGCACTTAGACCCCAACACTCTTGTGCCATTTAGACCTCTGCTCTGAAGGTCCTGGAAACTCAGAGGATCTTCTGTGAAGTGTCTGCCTTTGTCCCTGTCTTCTGGGAGAATATGCATGGGAGGGCAACATTCTCCTTTCCACCTTTCAAAATTGTAAGTGTGAGTGGCTGAGGTCTCCTGGGGACAGCATAAATGAGACAAGGAGGCAGAATGAGGAGAGGGAGTTAAGACGGGGCTCTGGACTTTCCTAGTAGAAATTCCTCCTCTGCAACTCCCCACCCAACTCAGGATCTCTGGTTATCATTCCCTCCCAGACCCAAGACTCCCGTCCTTTTTGGCAGGAATAGCCAGGAAGCATGCCTGCAGGAACCACAACTCATGAATCAGCAGACAGATAATTAACTGGGGGAATGACTGAGCAGCTTCGGGATCGACTGCTTAGTTT